GCCCTCAGAGGCAAGGAGAGGCCATCAGATCCCCTCGAACTGTGGTTACAGATGCCTGTGAGCCACCATGGGGTTACTAGGAGTAGAGTCTGGGTCCTCTGTGAGGACAATCAGTGCTTTAATCACTAAGCCATCTGTCTCCAGTCCCCATTATCTTTATTTTTTAGTGCTATTTAATAATGCATATATACTGCTAATAACATTCATTTGAACTGTAAGTCTAACTACTTACTGTTGGACTCTAGAATCCAATCACCAAGGAGGAGGAGTCACCCCCCCCCCCAGAGACTGTTTCTCACCACCACAGCTGATGTAAAAGCATAAGGATTTTATTAATTCTGTCATGACAGGGTCTTCCAGCATTTGGGAGGCCAGAAGACCTCAAATCGCTGGTACAGGCTATTTTTAAAGCAATAAGCCACAGGAGGAAGGGGGTTGTTCTTTAACTATTATGATTGGCTTATTCAAAATGGCTATTACCAATAATTGGCTGGAGAGTGGTTGCCAGAGCAGATGAGGTAAAGGGAAACTTCTGAAGGTCTCTTTGCCCCTTTCTCCAGGGACTAAGTCAAAACATCAGTAACTGAGTCAACACCTAAGGGTTATCTTGCCCCTATTCAGGGAGATGGAAAGTTCCCAACATCTCAGTACATGCATGTCTAGCTGTTATGTCCTTGGTCCCCAGGGGAGGAGGGGAAGTACTGAGAGTGTTCAGAAATGGCTTCAGAATTGTCTTCACGTGTTACACTACCAGTTCTACCAAGGTGGGAGACACCCCTTTGCTTTCTTTTTCCAAGTCTTCTTTTTCAAGAACATTCAACTTTCTATTCCCTAGCCATGTTTTATTGCCCTCTAAGTTTATAACTCGGGGCTGTGTTATCATTTCTATTTCAGTGTTAGGCACCTGCATTGTTTTCTTGTTGGGAAAAGAAACTGGAATTCTCTGGCAGCCTTTCTGCAACTGGTGACTCCTATGGCCTCAAAGTCAATGCATCACACATTTTACCTAACCATTGTGATTGTATCATGATGAAAATGCTTTCACCATCGAACCTCACTGTGTTTAGCTGTATATTTTTTTCTTATATAAACACATATTTTATCCATTAATTACCACCTTTGTTTACTGATCGGATACTTCTATTTTTATACAATTATTTGTAAAACACATAAACATAAAGGAAAACACAAGAGACATGGATTCAACTCAATTAAAAAAGCTAATCCCCTCAGGCCAATTCCCTTCTCAGTTCACAGACTGTCTATGCTGTGAGACAATGGTCTGTGCCTTGTCACTTGTATTTTAAATAAACGCTGATTGGCCAGTAGTCAGGCAGGAAGTATAGGTGGGACGACCAGGCACGAAGTAAGGAGAACAGGAGAATTCTGGGAAGTGGAAAGATTCAGTTTGCAGTCATCACCCAGACAGAGAGGAAGCCAGACACAGAGCAAGCAAGATGTGGCTGCCTTGCCAAAAAAAGGTACCAAGCCACGTGGCTAACAAAGACAAAAATTATGGGCTAATATAAGTTACAAGAGTTAATAAGAAGCCTGAGCTAATAGGCCAACCAGTTTATAAATAATGTAGACCTCTGTGTGTTTCTTTGGGACTTAATGGCTGTGAGACCGGGTGGGACAGAAAACTCAGTCAGCATGTTTATTCCTGTAACTTACTTTCATGTTTTGCTTTGCATTCAATTGTTTATCTTATAAAATAAAATATAGTTTAGCCTGTGTGTGTGTATCTACAGTTTAGCTCACAATGCTAAACTGCTTTAAAATACAGCTGTATGGATTTCCTTTGCCATCAAAAGGCTATGTCTTTCCAGTACTAAACAGCTTTCCAGATATTTTATATTAACCACCCTCCTCTTTCTCTCTTCCCCCCTTTCTCCCTCCCCCTCTCTTTCACAGAGAGATAAAGAGAGACAGAGAGACAGAGAGAGAATAAACTGTGTTATTCTCTGTGTGTAATATGATATCTCTGTGGCAATAATTCATTCTTGTTGAGCCATCAAAAGGATTAAGCTCTTACTACATATTTAATGGGCTTTTAAAACCTTTTCTTTCTTTCCTGAATTTATTGTTTATGATTTTTGCTTGGTTTTCTTTGTATTCTCTGTTTCATTCTCACTAATGTTCTGCATGAATTTTTCCTGTATCCTTATTAGCCATACCTGCGTGGTTTGTCCATTGTGTGTCTTGTATTTTGCTTTCGTCATAGCATCTTTGAGTAAACTATTTTTATAATACATTTTTTTCTTTTATGGTTGGTGTTTTTTTTTTACATTTCTTTTAAGATTAAGAAAGATATTACTGGGGCTGGAGAAATAGCTCAGTGGTTAAGAGCACTGACTGGTCTTCTGGAGGAACCAGGTTCTATTCCCAGCACCCACATGGCAGCTCATAAAGGCCTGTAACTCCAGTTTCAGGAGACTGAACTCCTTCACACAGACATCCATGCAGGCAAAACATGAATACACATGAAATAAAAGTAAACTATCAAAAAATGAATATTTCTTTGCTTTGAAATTCCAAATGCATTCCCCTTTCACTCCTCGGAAAACTGCTGTGCCTTCCACCTACAAATATAACATTATAATTCACTTTTGAGCATGAAGTCATTTTAGTTCCTCATATAGATGTGAACTGTCCTAATAGGTTTTGTTTAAAAGGCCATTTCTTCCCCATAGCTTTTCAGAACAGATTCTCTTATGTTTAAAATCCATACACCTTTAGATGTGGTGTTGATGCAGTTCATCTACTTTATCACTGTATTTGGGATGCTTCAAACAGCAGTTCACAGTCAGTTAATATTTTTATTTTTATAGTTTGATGGTAATATTCATTCCACATTCATTGACATGCTTTAGCTGACATGGCTACTCTTCCATCTTTATATATATATAAGACTTGTGTACAAAAGGTAATAGCGGAAAGAAACTTGATTCTGAACAAGGAAACTAAGCATGCGACGAGGGTGACTAAATCATAGCAATGCTAATTTTATTATTTAAATCACTATAATATCCCTGACGGTTTGAAGCAAAAATTATAGCCACGCCGAGTATTTTCTTGCAGAGAGCACTGCGAAGACAGTGGAAAATGAGAAGATTAACACAGAAAGCCATCAAAACAGTAAGGGGATCTACAGACTTTGCTGACTCCTGCCCACCTGGATTAGTTGTGCCCACCTTATGAAGGGGCTTGCTGAGTTTGCACGGGGGGAAAATAATTAAGACTTATGGGATTTTCAACATATATGGAAGTAAAATATGTGCCACTCCATAAAAAAATTAGAAAAGGAGAAAAACATATAATTTTATGCTTATTATTCTACATGTTAACTCAGTGACATTGAAATGAAGCCAACGGTAAGGAAAGCTCTGCACTGTATGGCTCATTGTAGCCACTGAAATAAAATGTAAATGTATTTAGTTATCCAAGAGTGAGAATTAGATGTCACCCAAACCATCACTGAGAGTCCATCTCACCCTAATCACAATGGCTACCAAAATAAAACAATCAACAATGAAAAGCCAGCTAGGATGTGGACTAAAAGGAAGCCAGGTACCTGGTGGGTGAGCATGCAAATTAGCCCAGCCACTATGAAAATCAGCGTAGTGGCTCCTCCAAAAACTAAACATAGGGCTAACACATGATCAAGCTAGCCCACTCCTGGGTTATATCCAAAAGAAATAAAATCAGCATAGGTAAAAGATCCTTATAGATCCATTTATTCCAGCATAATTTATGATATCTGAGCTTTGAAATATTCCTGTGTTCATCTGTAGATAAACAGGTACGAGAAATATTATGTAGCTAGGTATATACAGATAGGTAGATAGATAGATAGATAGATAGATAGATAGATAGATATAGATGATAGATGGACACACAGAGACAGACAGACAGAACGATATAATTAAAAACACACAGAGAGAAAGTGAACCATTATAACAAAATGAAGTGTTCCCATGGTGCCATTTGTGGGGAAATGGGATAGATGAGAAATCACGTACAGTAAAATAACCAAGGCATAGAAAGCCAAGCATATTTTCTCTCAAACAGATATGGTGCATGATTAATAAAAGCTCAGGGTCAGAAATTGGGGTTCAACCTGAAAATCCGAAAAGCAAAACAGCCAGCCACTGGCTCTTACCTCAACCTTAGTCTGAAATGGCGATTCTACCTCCAGGAGTCTCAGAAGGAGACTGTGTCTGAGAGCTGTTTCCTACCACTTTATAATCCTCTCTAGGGCTTAGATTAAAGGCGTGCTACCCCCATCATTAAAAGCACGCACCGCCCAGTTTCTATGGCAACTAGTGTGGCTACAGAATTAAAGGTGTGTGTCATTATGGCTACTGAGATTAAAGGTGTGTGTTACCATAATCTGGTCTGTAAGGCTGACCAGTGGGACTGTTTCAGGCTCAGCTCTTCAGCAGGCAGTCTTTATTTGTTAAAATACCATTGAAATTCCACTACACAGGTCAGCTAAAATAAAAGTTAAAAACAGCCTGCGTTGGAAGCGGTAGATGAGTTACTTAGAGAAAGGTAAAGTGACCAGGAGTTAGTCAGGAGGATTGATATAGTCAAAGCAATATATATGCCTGCATCTATATGTCACAGTGAAACCCACTAACATGCACGATAAATACAGACTGTTCGCTATAGCACTAAAAATGCAAAGCAGTAGCCATGTGCAATGTGTTGGTGTGCTCAATCATCCTTGGATCCTGCTCACATTTCCCTGCACCTGACTCTGATGAAGAGCAGGCAAATGCAGCTTCTGCAAATAGACGCAGGTGTCCACAACCTGGGTGTGATTTCCAAGCCAGTGGGGTTAGCAGTTGTCCTCATTCCCACTCCCGGTAAACGTGGCCTCTCAGGTGGCTGGGCTTTTGCATGAATCCAGGAAGAGGTTTCGGGCAAGTCATTTGGCGGAAGATGCTGCTTTCTCTGTGGCTGCGTCCCGGGGCTTGACCGCGAGAGCCAGTCTAAGCGAATCCTCCCCGGAGAGGATGACTTTCTCACCTACAGTCATCTTCGTGGTCATCTTCTGTGTGCAGTCTCTAGCTGCCGTGCTGCAAAATGGCTTCATGGTCGCTGTGCTGGGCATGGAGTGGGTACGGAGCCAGGCCCTCCCTGCAGGTGACATGATTGTGGCCTGGCTAGCTGCCTTCAGGGTCTGTCTGCATGGACTTGCGATCCTAAACAACTTCCTGAACTTCATGTTCGGGAGCAGTAATTACTATTTTGGGACCCTCTGGGACTTCACCAACACCGTCACTTGCTGGCTTACCGCCTGGCTTGCCGTCTTCTACTGTGTGAAGATCTCTTCTTTCTCCCACCCCGTCTTCTTCTGGCTGAATTGGAGAATTTCTCGGTCAGTGCCCAGGCTGCTGCTGGGATCCTTGATCCTTGGCGGCCTGTCAGCCATCTCCACAGTCACTGGAAATACAGTTACCTCGCAGATGATGGCCCGTGAAAACTGCACATTCAATTACAGAGTAAGGGTGTTCTTTCAGTATTACCACCGCTGTCATGCAATGCTGATGAGCGGTACTCCGTTCTTCCTGTTTCTGCTCTCCATCATTTTACTAATGTTCTCACTCTACTGGCATCTGGGGCAGATGAGGCACCACAGACCCAGACCTCATGATCACAGCACGCAGGCTCACACCACGGCTCTCAAGTCCCTTGCCTTCTTCCTCATCTTCTATACGTCCTATGTCCTGCTCCTGTCCATTTCTACCACACATGTCATAACTATCTACAGTTCCTGGCGCTGGGCCTGGGAAGTGATCACCTACACAGGCATCTCCCTGCATTCCACCATTCTGATGCTCAGCAGCCCCAAGATGAGAAGGGCCCTCAGGATGAAGTTCTCCAGCCTCTGTGTTGCTGGCTCATAAGACGCGAAGGGCCCTGGACAAAGAGTGGCTCCACTCTCCAGATATCAGTATCAACAACCTGTTCTCTAATGAATAGCGCCTTTCGCAGCAGGAATTCATAGGATCTCAATGCTCTCCCTGCTTATTCAACCCCACCTCTTCCATGCTTTGCTATTTCTTTTCCCCCTTTTCTCTGTTTCTCTGGCTGTTCCTATTCGTTCTCTGGTATAGGTCACATTGGCCTCCCCTGACATCCTCATTGCTTATGGGTCTCTAAACAATATTCTTTGAAAATTTAAAGTATTGGTCTACCCTTATTTATGAATAACCGTGACCAATGTCAGTTGACTCTCCGAGCAAACTAAAGTCTGGTAATAGATTCCTCAACGCTGTTGTTCTGGGACACTCAGCCAAGCTCCTCACTCCTGCTTTGGTTTCAGATCAGTCTCTATGGTACAGCTTCTACTATTGTCCCATGAGACCTTGCCTTCTATCTCATGTTCTTTTGCCACCAGAGAACAGGCATTTCCCAGCTCCTTCATCCTTGTTACTCCCTACTTTGCTTTTCCTGTCAGTCGCTGCCATTTCTTTTTTTGTTATGCATCACGTAAGACTAAATTCCATCATGGAGATTAATCTTATACAAAGCTGCGGACATGCGTCAGTTTTGCCCCATTATGGATCCTATCAATGGCTTTGTGTGCATGCTTAAGTTGAATTAAACGGGGTTGTATGATGTGCGAATGTCAAATTTTGTCCAGCAGAAGATAGATGACAGCAAAGGAAATCCTCAACAATTCTTCATTTTAATAACCCTGCTCTTCTTATCTGTCCACCCTGGAAGAGGCACCTACATGGTGTTGCCTAGGCTTGTCATCGCCAGACTGGAATTTGTGCCCAGTGGTCCACTGGAAGAAGAAAACATATATATGTAGGAGTCTCTATTCGTATATGATTTTATCTTCTCCTATAAATTTCCAGTTTTCTGTGTATTTGTAGTTTATATAATATATCAATGTGAGATATGTGTATAATTACGAATAAATATGAACATGATAATATCTTGGACATCCAGGCCGCTATAAAAGATAGAACATTAGAATTATCATGCTCTTATTAACCTATTTTTCAAAACAAGGAACATGCCCAAAGGAAGTCAGTCTCCTGTCACAATATCATAAGGGACCAATATGTCAAAGAATGGGATCTTAGATGTATGTACTTAATAACAGTTTCAAAACATCGCAGAGTGGATAGAGTAATGGGAAAAATAAGGTGAAATTACAGTCAGCCATTAACACTCTTTCCTCGAGAACTGGTTTTACAAGTAAGCCAGAATCCGTAATAAAACGGAAGGGTGGAACACTTCAGTCGGCCAGCCAGATTTAACTCCCACCTATGGAAAAAGCTCTTCCAACCTCAGAATGCATCTGTTTGCTGTGCAGACGTGAAATACATCAAAATGGATCCTCTTCTGGTTTCAAACTAAATCTCAATAAGATTAAGAGTATGTTTTCTAGTCACAATCGGATGAAAGTAGGGATCTATAGCAGGAAAATACCTAGAAAATGATTGGAGGCTTAGATTTTAGGTAACATGATCAGGAGAGTCAAAATGGAATCTAGAAAATGTAGGCTGAATGGAAACGAAAAGGAAGCATTTGCAAGTGTGTGGGACGCTACGACCGTGAGATGCTACCGGAATGAACCAACACTAAGTATGCGTGTTCAAAGAAAGAGCTCAAATCAGATTCACCTCAGCAAAGTTGAAATAGGGGAGCAGTAGAAAGGCAGAAACATCAGGGAAAAAATGTAATTAACAAAAGTCAAAGTGAAACTAACGAAGCAGAGTGCTGAAAAACAGCAGACAAGATAAATGAACCAAAATTGGTAAGATTGATTATTCTTTAGATGCATTGACGGGTGGTAGGGGGCAAACTGTCCACTGCAAGGATGGGAGAGGTAATATCTCTTCATTTCAGAAATAGTAAAAAGAAAATAAGGGGCTATTTGGACAACTTCACACAAATAAGTTGAACACTGTCGGAAACACATTGGCAGTCCTGCCTCAGGTTTCCTTCAAGCTAGTTTCCTCAGACTGTAGTCCTCCATTCAAATCAGGACTGACAGCAATGTGGGGCCTTTGCAGGGCTGTGGTTCTGGAAACTCCCCTCAGCAGTAACCCTGGGATTATCACTTCTTTTTTATGCTGAATCTCATGTTCCCTGGGCCTTATTATTTGACAATTTTGTTGGTTTTTCTTTCCTTAATTTTTTGTTGTGGTAAAACCCAGTCTTTCACTTCCAAATCATCAGACATCTAACTGGCTCCCACCTACTCTTTTAAAATGGTGTTTAAGAGTATGGTTTTTGTTTTTTTGAGAAATTATATATATTTCTCAATATAATATATTTTATTTTCCTTTCAAACTTGATTTATAAGTTTCCTGGGTACTTAGGAAGAGCTTTTATTGTTGGCTCCCAACCTAACCCCCAACACACCAAGGCATTTCTAAATCACCTGCCTCTGATTGGCTATAAACTATCATTCTTCCAAGTATGTTTTGATATATCTTCCTGAAGACATTATGGTTTCATCATGTTTATCTATATACTCTTATTTTTGTAGGAATATGAATAAAGAGGAAATGGAAAATATAATTACCAACAGAAGCACAATTAATAAAAATTCAAAGAAAGGCATTGGGACTCAACCTGATGGTCAGAAAAGCAAAACAGCCAGCCACTGGCTCTTACCACTACCTCTGTCCAAAATGGTGATCCTGCCTCCAGGTATCCCAGAATGAGACTGTGACTGAGAGCTGTTCCCTCCCATTTTATAATCCTCTCTATTTCTGGGATTAAAGGCATGCACCACCCGGTTTCTATAGATGTATGTTATTACTGCCTGGCCTGCAAAGCTGACCGGTGGGGGCTCTTTTACTCTCTGATCTTCAGGCAAGCTTTATTTATTAAAATACAATGAAATGCCACTATATTTCTCCTTTTTGTCTAAAATAAAAAAGGCTATAACTATTATAAGAAAAGCTATATACAATAACTAAAATAACTATATACAATATATGCAGGCAATAAATAAATCAACAATGTCTAGTACATTTGATTTGACAAATCCAGAAAAAATATTCCATAACTATCCTATCTTGGTGAGTCCAAAGTCTTGTACCTCATATGCTTTCTATCATAACTATCCAGTCTTCAACTCTCTCAGAGACCCAAGAAGGAAATAATATTAACTGAGTAAGCAGGAAGGATAAGAAAGACACTTCCAAAAAATTTGAGTAATGACAGAAACAGCTGGCTGCCTGGGCTGTCATCCAAAGTTCCTCTGCAATGTTGAGATATCCATCTTTGGCCCACAGGCCTAACATATCCAACAGACTTTTCTGTGAAGCAGGATATTTTGTGTCCTGCTTCTCTAATTAGGACAGCATATGTCAGCAGTTGAGTCAGGGACATTTTCTTGCCCAGTGGAAGAAAGTTAAGGTAACTCCATGTGAAGTTTCTTTGATGTCCATCATCTTCTCTGAAGTAGATTGGTGCTGCCAGTAACAGACCTATGTCTCATTGTCATAACAAAGAAAGAAGAACCTATGTTTTTAAAACATTTTAAATGCCACATTTTGTAGATCTCTGAAGTATTTGAAGGTGACCTATCTATATAAAATATATCTTTGTTTAATCTTGAAAACATATCTAATGTGACTATAAGTTCGATTATACTAGGTGATTAACTATTAGCCTATATTTCCTTATTATTTTAAACAGTTGGTAATAATTAAGTCTTAGAAATTTACATTGCATTGTTAAATGAGCTGTATAGGTACAACAACTTGAACAAGATTAGAAATGTATGCACAGTATATTTTAACAAAAATAATCTCAAATTTGTATCAATATACAAATTTATATCAATACACAAAATTTGTATACAATATACAAAAATCCATTCCAATGTAAAACATTTAAAACTACTTGCTGCTTTTAAAAAGTAGATTCAATAATCTACCTTTTATCTTATCATATATATATCTTGCTTTTTTCTTTTCAGAGTAGATTCAATAATCTACCCTTTTATCCTAGCATATCTATATCCCCTTTTTTCTTTTCAAAACAAGAACCTTGATTCTAATTTCCTTTGTTTAGCTTTTTCCTGACCACTATCCATAATAACTTGTAACCAACACACTAAACAAAGACAAACATCCATAATCCATTTTTTGGGAATGTTGACATGGTTTTCTAGGCTACTTCCTACAGATTGGCGGTGCTGATAATTTTATCTGTGAGACTTATTCACATTTTCACATATAGCCATATTTGATTTTTCACTGTTTTATAACATTATAAATTTTATTGTGATATATCTTTTCTAATTTCTCTCTCTTTTTTTTTAACTTATTTGCCTTTTCCTATTGGGTGTTTAGATGAGCTCCAACTTGAACCTCTTAAACATAGTTCTGATCTTTAAGACATTTTTGGTGAATAACTACATTTCTGTTTCTAACTTATCTGATATGGAAGTTTCTATATCATGAATGCTCTGACTACCTGTTCACCTCATCTTCTGTTCATTTTAATTGTAATTTTTTTACTTTAATTCATGAATATTCCTTAATGCTAACCAAGTCCTTTGCTAACTAGTTCTATGCATTTCAATGTCTTCACCTCTCTCTGGTTTGAGTTTTAACTCTCTTCATTGTATATATTGTTGTCAAAAGTTGTCAGTTTTTCATAAGATTAAATTTGTCAATCTTTTCCTTTACAGTTCAGACTTTTACATCTTTTAATATATCTTTGCTAATCCCCAAATCATGTATATGGTGCCCTACATCAACTTTTAAAGAGCTGATATAGTTTTATGTAAGTAATCATGTTACATTAGCCATTCTTCAGCTAATTAAACAGTTTTAATCCATCTAGGATCAAAGTCCATGCTCTTCTATATAATATTGACCTAATCCAGCAGTTTAAAAAGTATTTCCACAGATCCATTAAAAAT